CATAAGATATAAGCTACTGACACAAGAATTCAGAACTGAAAAAGTACTGGTGTGGATTGCTAGAAAGATTCTTGTATTCAGCACATTCTGAAGTTGTACATTCAGAATTGCAGTCCTACTTCCCCCTACTGCCTGGAGGAGAGAAAATGATCTTCTAAATCTTAATATTTCCTTTTTACTTCTTTTGCCTCCTACTGTTTCTTAAATATTTTCTAGAGCGTTGGACTTTAATAAAATAGTTCAGAGTATTCCTTTTTACCTTGTGGTTATGATCTCATGAAACCTTTGCCATAGTTAAGTCAGGATACTTCAAAGAAATTATATATGAATTTAAATATCAGTACATAATAGATTTCATTTTCACATAAAAAAGTGCTGTTTGCAAAACTTCTTTTAAGCTCTACTTCCCATAAAGGAGCAGTTTATCTAGTCTAAATCATTCCTTCGTATCATACAAATTCTCTAGTGATATCCCAGTTTTCTAGTGAAAGTGCATAATGTTTTTGAAAATACTTATCCCATCTCTCCTCATGCCTGATATGAATATTCAGTTCTATTTTCTCCTATAATGAGCTTGGCATACATTAGTTGCCAATATATTTACAAACTAGCTAGGACATTCTTTTCTCTGTTGTTCTCTCTTTTCAAGGTTAGAGTCTTGTTTCACTTGCACTCTATTTCCTCAGTGCTGGCACCATATCCCAATGCTTATTTAATTTGCCATAAATTCACAGAAGTTAAAAAAAAAAGAGAAGACCTATTAGGTTATCTAGTCTGTCTCACTATCCATTCAGGATTGATCCTTATTGTTAATTCACAAATATTTTGATCAGTTTAGAATCAGTTAAAATGTACTGTGTACTGGAGTTTCTGGCATTTTTTACTTTTGGGAGGTTTTTTTTTTATTTGTTTTGTGGTTTTGTTTGGTTTTTTTTCCTGCAGTCTGATAGATTTTTCTTTCAGGAAGTTTTATTAAATGTTCTTGGCTTCAAATTGGCATATTCCCTTTTACTGAAATGTGGTCTTATTTTTCTTTCTAGCTTTAGTAGAGCAAGTTAAATCAAGTCAAAGACTCTGAGTCGCCTCATTTCCATTTAAACACTCTGTTTCCTTTGAACACTTAATAGTCTGAATAGTCTTTGTAGTCTAGATCTACAGGTCTCATTTTTTATTTTGTAATAGAATACTCTCCTGTACTTTCTTGTATTGTCAGTTGCTCCAGTTATATTCTTTACAAATGTATCGTCCTTTATTTTCATTGATTTTACAACCATTTTATCTCATATACCCTCTGCAACAGTTTGAGTTACTCAGATTCACAACTCCCAACTGGACTTCAAGGATAAGCACTTTAGCAGTCAGTCTTAAAAGGAAAAAATGGAGTTCAAAATTCCAGAAGGTGTTAATAGGACTTTCCAAAGGTCTTCTGCTGAGCACTCTTCAAAGGCTCTAAGTAGTTAGCAAAGAAAGATGAAAATCTGGAGAAATTTTAACAGCAGAATAGAAGTTATATTTATCTTTTGAAAATTAGCCTTTAGTTAAATGCCTAAAGATGTTTCAGATGCGCAGTTAAACTGCAAAACTTCCTTATCTTCCTCTGCTTAGTTTATGGTCCTTGAACTAGGTTTAAATTGACAGGGACAATACAGTTATTACTCAGAAAAAATAGAGTGACCTCTATAAACTTAAAGACCAGGACATAAGAAACCTCATACAGTTTGAAAAGGGATAGTGGGGAAGTTTTGCACCATGCTTCAGAATACACTATGAATCAATCAGCTGAGTGCTGATACTGCTGCTAGTATTCAGGGGTGGTTTTGATGGATACCAGAATGAATATGAAAAGCTTGCTTTCATAGCAAACTGCACAAACCACAGTCTGCATTACTTTAGTAGGGCCATGTCCAGCAGACCTAGAGAAGTTATGGTCCTTTAGTCAGCAATAGTGAGGCTGCAACAGGAATAACGTACTCAATAATAAGTCACCAGCTGAAGAGAAACAGAAACTGTAAAGAATCATGTAGAAGGATAGCAAGGTATTCAAGAATCTACAGTACATGTTTGATGGAGACAGGATGAGAGGAATGGTCTTGTTTCCTCTGACAGAGAGGTGAGAGGCTACAGGGTGATCTAACAGTTGCTTACCTAATCACCTGACGAGTTGTTGCAGTGATGATGGAGCAAAACTTTTCTAAATAGTAGGAAAATGCTCACCACTATGAGGATAATGAAATAGAAACTGTCCTGACAGACTGGAGAGTAAGTCCCTGGAGTTTTTCAAAACTCATCTAAAGAAAGTTGTAGCTGACCTGGTCTATCATTGGCAATAAGTCTCTTTCAACTAAAAGAGAACCTCTCCATGTCATTTTCTGTCTAACAGTTTTGTGATTCTGAGAAATTCATAATTTTGAAATTTTGAGAAACCTAGAAACAAGCTGTTTCCTGAGCTTGTCAGTAAGGGTTTTCAGTGTGTTGTCAGTACATTTCTGCCCTGAAGCATCTGTATTGCTAGACTGATGGTTTATCATGAGCAGCAATGGATGTGAATTTACTTGTGCTTGTTTCGTGCACAGAATTTGACTTAACTCAGCAAAACATTGCTGCCAATGTGGACCCTAAATTAACTGTGAAGATAACATTCCCATTCATGGTGGTAACTTCAGCTTTCCACATAGCTGTACAGGAAACTGTCATATTTGTAGATCATAATAAATATTGTTGGTCAAAAGCAAACTCATTCTAGAGTCTACTTTACTCACCAATACATTTAAAGAACAGCACTTTGTTCCCTCAGACTTATCAATTTCTATTATAGCCATTAAAGGTAATATTCCCATTAATTTCAATTGTTTAGGATCAAAGTCTTGTAGAGATTCGTCAAAAAGGAATAATAACAGAAGAAGAATGGGTCAGCTTCCTAGTACAATATTTTGCCATTCAAATTGCTTATCCTCTGTTTCTTTTTTACCAAAAAATGATATTGAATTTCCTAAACACAGCATAATCCCAGATGTCAGTTCTTCTTCAAGGAGAGAAATCTGCATATTTTAAATCAGGGAGTAAAGTAAGGAAAGTATATATGCATTTCTCATTTGAAGTAGGCATGAACTTGCATTGAGCACTACAAAAATCATAGGAAAATTGTCTCACAGATCAGCAGAGAAATCATATGCCTAATTACAGACTGATGCATTTAGAACCCAAAGTCTGGAGAAGGTTCTGTGCTGATGAGACATATGGAAGTTGCAAATATCTGTTCAAGAACAGAAAAAAAACTTCAAGTTTGATAGAGGATATTTTATGTATTGAGTTCACGGGTTTTTAATATCATTTGGAGAGATTAATAGGTTAGCTAAATTCCTAATTTTACTGTTTAGTGGAAATGTTATGTTCCTACTTCACATCTCTAAATGTAAGTTACATGTCTGGGTATCATACTATATAATGATATGGTGGATTTACCAGGTGACAAAAATATAGCGTATTCTATTGCCTTAAAGCATTCTATAGATGTTGGGTATCTAATATTCAGAAAAAAATATTTAAGGTAACAGGAAAATATAAATCTACCAGGGCAGACACTCTAAGTGGCTTTCCAAAAGCTGTACAGAAGGTCATTTTTAAGAGCCAAGATAATATTTAGAAAATTTGGCTTTTTGCCCTGCACTTAGTGTACAGCCTGCATTAGATTTGAAATTCAACTGGTGTTTTACAAAAAAATGTTACTTTCAAGGTTTAGTGTAGTAACTCTTTGAAATTACATTGATTTAAAATATAACACAAAATATTTTAATCCCTATTATATTTATTTTGAGAAAAGTTTTAATAACTATCACAAATATTTTAATGTTTTAAGACTTTATGTAGAGGATGGTAAAAAAACATACAGATTACAGGCAACATTTTAGATAATTTCTTTCCTTTCACTTGTTTCCTTGAAGCTCTAAAATAATTCCTTCCTTCTAAGGAACTTTTTTTTTTGGGTTACACTGAGACCCATCACAAATTAGAAAAAGATGATCCTTGAATTCTTTACATTTATTAGACATGTTCTTTAACATGCAAAAAGATGTCTTGTTCAGAAACTATTTAAGCTAATATCTCTCTCAATGCTTGCTGTGAAAAAGATATGGATGAGAAACCACATAAAAACACTTGCAGAGTAGAATCTGAGTAAGATTTATACAGAATTGAGGCACATAACTTTAAAATTATGACAAAAAGTCTAAAAGTCCCTTACAGTTCATAGCATTTGAAATTGAAGACACATGTATAGAAGTTCAGTATCCTTTCTGAGCTGACTGCCTTGCAGACAGCTTGAACAGCTTCTCCATCTCAAAACCTAGCTATTGGACTCACAGTGCCTGATGTTCTGTAGAAGATAGTTTATCGAATATTCAGAGAAAACCTAGCAAGTCTCATGCAAATGTTAATTGAGTTACTTTTAAGAATTATTTTATACAAACGATTGTTATGACCTGCCCCAGAAGGTGAGAGTAAACCAGGTTCTCGTTAATTAATCCCTTGGGGTGGATTAAAGTGAAACGACACGGAATGATTGGTGATTGTAAACATATGTATGTAGAGTTTATTTGAGAACAATTTTGTTTCAAAAGAAAACAGGTCATTTGGTTGTTGTGATCTACAGTAATATGGTCTTATTAAAGCATAAAAATAACACTTAAGAAAGGATAAAAATAGAAAGATATATATAGTCACCACCTGCTGGATCCAGCGATGAAATCTGGTAGTTTCAGCTTCAATGCCTGTTGATTGAACTGATGGCCTTGATCTACTGGGCGTGGGGAAGCTCCCTCCAAAACTCAAAGATTTCGTGAGTTATTATACACTTCAAGCTCAGGTGGGAATGCCTTGTGCCTCCCCAGGGGTGGGGAGTTTTACAATGGATGATGTCACAGGACATGTAGTTAGTCTATGACACCTAAGGCATTACAGTTACCTATTATGTCAGCATCAATCGTGCTCTATTATGGTCCATCATCTGAGATGAACAGCCCAGGTTAGGTGTGAACATCACTGATGCTTCCTGGAGGGGTTTTCACAGCAGAGTCATCATGTAAGGGAAGATATTGGCATGATAAGAAGGATTATCCTAGCTTGCAGGATTTGCCTCTTATTAGCCTCTTCCCTTACCTGGAAATCCAGTTTGTAGCTTCAGATATGCACACTCTTCTGCACGTGGGATAGCTGGACAATGACACTCACTTACCTGGTCTGAAGGGCCTTTCAAAGCAGGCATATTCAGGGAGGGGTGGGCTTTGCTGGATGAGCAGCTTTTTTTTTTCAGTTTGCTACAGTGGACAAAAGACTTTTCATGATCTTAACAATGTTTAAGCCATTAACCATTTCAGTCTCTGACAATGATGGTGCATATTTTCTTTCCTATAGAAAAACCTATTAACCAGTGGGCACTGACCTAGGGTTTGATAAAACATTTCAGATTCCTGGGGGCAGTAAAAGAGACATCTAAAGAAATATAAGTCCATCAGTCAGTGGTGGAGAAATTTTGTATTATGGTTGGTGTTCTGGGAACAATTTACGATCAGCTTAAATGCAATACCCATTAACAACATGTATGCACAGTTCCATTATAGTTCTGATGTTTTATATGCAATCTACATTTTCAAGCTTTTATGCACTATAGAAAGAATGGCTGTCAATTGTCCATTTGTAATGTAAATGGTATGAGGTCTGAGACTGCTCGAACATTGTAAAATATTTGCCTTCTGTTCCTGGGAGAATCAATATTTTAATCTGATCTAATTATAATTTGCAACAATCTCAAAATGTTCTGAGCCATAAAATAGTGATCTGAGCACTCAGTCTGCTCTGAAAGGATTTCCTGTGGAGTCTAGTTGTCATTTTAGTATCAATTTATCCAAATTCTTACTGTCAAGAAAAAGAAGTCGATACCACAGAAAAGAAATGTCTTAATTTTGAAGACTGAGATAGAGCAAGTATGCACTCTACCGATTGCAGGATTAAGACTCTCTTCATCTCTTCTTAGTTACATTTCATGCAGGGTCTGAGATATGGGGAGGAGAATGGGGAATGGGGGCTGCTATCAGTTCATCACATGTTGTCTTTCCCTCTCCTTCCTCCTCACACTCTTCCCCTGCTCCAGCACAAGGTCCCTTCCACAGGAAATAGTCTCTCATGAACTTCTTCAGTTTGAGTCCTGAGTTGCAGATATTCACAAAGTGCTCCAGGATGGTTCCTTTCCATGGACTTGTCACAAAACATGTCTGCACACAGTATGGGCCAACCAAGTCTGGGTGACCGTACTTGAGGAGGGAACTTGGAAGAGATGACCTCCAGAGGTTCCTTCCAACCTCAATCACTCTGTGATTCTGTAACAGAGCCATTTTTTATTTAAATCTTTAATAACATCAAAATCTTCAGCTTTTGGGGTGGGGGCTGGGGTGAGATTATTTTGGAGAGTGATCTCTGATAATTCAGAAAGGAACATTACCATCTGTATTTTAAGATAGATTGCAATGCAGTCCTAAAGATAAAGAGAATATTTTTGTAAAAAATCATTATTTTGTAATAATTATATTATTTTATGAGTGCATAAAGGAAGTAATGATTTGGGTTGGGTTTGTTTTACAGGTGGAGTAGATGTGTAAAGTACATAATTTATGTTTGTGTTGGGGGTGAGGGCTTCTAAGGGTAAAGGTAGGTGATGAAGCTTACAGACAGAGAACATAAGAATTATTCAATTCTGGAATGAGTAATGCAGAGATCACAGATTTCTGTGAAAGAAGGCAGCACTGATTTTGTTTTCTGACTGTCCTATGTCCTGGGAGAAGGGGGTATGAAACAGAAATCAATCCACATTCTTTGGTAGAAAATTCCAGTTAAAAAGAGTGCTGTCAGAAAGTAACATTCATCTTTTCTTAGAATCATATAGTAGTAGATTTTCATTGCCATAGGATAAAAATTTACTTTAATAGTAAAAACTATTATTCAGGTTTTCAAAATTCACCTTTTCAAAGTGTGTCCATAAATCTGACATTTATAAGTTTTGCCTTTCTTTATGGCTTTCATTCCTAGTCAACTTATGTAACGTAAAATAAGCAAATATCATTTGTTCACCTATGGTTACAGATAAAAGTTTATATTCCAGGATTTGAAATTATAGTCATTCTTTCAGAGCAAATTGTCACTGTGGAAGACTCATTATATATTAGGTTATGTTGTATTCTTCATGGGTTTTATATAAACAAAATATTTGTCTGTCAGCCACTCTTTCTGTCACTGTGTTAGCCTCAATGTGAAACCAATGACAGTACTTAACACCACAATTAGCACTTCTAATTATCTTGCTTTTTGTTAGATCACTTTTCAATTTTATCAGACCAATTTCTTTCTATATACCTATTTACAAAGCTACCTGCTCCAAAATCCTGCAAGCTCGTCAAATGACAAAATTTTCCAGTTGTTTACTGTCACTTTGATTTTTATTTTATGAGCTTTTGAGACTCTATTCCCAGCAAAAGTTACATGTTGCCTAAATGCCATCTGTAGTTTAGATTCTCAATGTGAAAAGTACCTTCCACTAGCTTTTAAATCAAAATTACCACCAGCGTCAAGTTCCTGGCAATCACAGCAATTCAATTATTTCCTGATAGCAGAATGACATATTCTCCTGACTATATTTTTATTAAATACCTAAAAGCTATAAATCTCAGCAATTTGTCATTCTTCTGGGTAGTAATACACAGTGTGTCAGAAAGCTTTTAGTCTTTTGTTATAATAATAACAACTATATTTATTGTTCAGCACTTCGTAGTTAATGATCTATATATAATGCCTTCCAAAACAAAGATTGAAACTTACTACAGTGTAATTGTAGCAGCCATGTGTTACTTAGGCACTTTAATAATTTATTATAAATTTCTATTCTAAACATCTATGTGTAATAATGTACCTCAAAGAATGCTTTGGTGAATTTTCCAGGCTGACGAGACCAGCAGCAAATACTGGCTGAAAACTAAGTCTAAGATTTCTGTTTTCCTGCATGGTGCATTTTCTTGCTAGGGCTGAACTTAAAAAACAAACCATTGCCACTTACCTGTTTGGTCCTTTCACGCATGCACTTTGGAGATCTGTCATTATCCTCTCTGCCATTTGCTTTTCTACTATGCAAAATGAAATATATTGACAAAATCCTGATTGTAGTCCATACTAGATACTTGAGAAAATATTAAAAATACTATTTTATTTGAGTATTAATTTTTTTGTACCTCCAGGCATTTGACTCAACACATTTTTTTTTTTTGGTTAAAGTGTTTTTGGAGGCTCAGGGCATATGCTTCCAAAAGCAAATAATGCTCTTATCCAATAGGCAATTCTTCTCCAGGAGGTTTTCTCATTACATGTCTTATAATATTTATATGCATGTATTCTATTTAGCAGTGAGTTATTCTCTATATTTTCTCTGGAGACTTGATCCTGGTAATTATGCAGGGAAATGTTGCTTTCTAAATTTCTTAGATTAATATTCAATAACAACCTACTTTTTTTATTATTAATTTCTAAAACATTCACAACTTGTACTTGATAGTGAAGTAGTCTTAATTTGTTAATTTGTTCTACTATTCCCATGTTATTGTAATTCAGCTCTCATGGATTGTCAGCAGAAAGCTATTTATCAGCTGCGTCTTGTTCAACATACCATCACAGGGTTCCTCAACAACAACAACAACAACAAAAAAGTCACATTACCTTCCATTCTATCAGACATTCATTGGCTCCCAGATTGCAGCAAAATTGTTTTTATAGAACTCTATATGACTTTCTCTTCTCTCGCTTTTACTACCATATGTTTTTTCTTGTTCACTTTTAATCAACCTCACAGAACACTCTGAACAAGAAAAATCCAAATTTTTATTCAGTTTTTACAGACTATTAACTAAAGTCTTCCATGTATGTAGCTTTTTCTTGTAGCTTGGCTGTATGTATTATACTGTCTACTTACTCATGTAGTTAGATGATGCAGGAAAGGAGAAAAGAAGGGGAAAAAAAACTTCGAATGGAGAGAAAAACTTTAAGGAGGAAGCTGAAAGACAGGAAATATAACAAGGCATATACTCTTTATAAGACATCGTATAAGAGTCCTAATCACAGTAATATGATCCGTGCTACCATTACCTCTATCCCCAAAAAATCCTCAGTAAAGAAAGTTTCAAGCAACATCAAACAGAAAGATGATGTCAGGAAGAACAAAAAGTTATGATCAGCATATTTAATCAATGCTTCTGAGTATATTTACAAGAGAGGACACTAACTCCTTACTATTTGGCACTGACAGTAAGAATACTTTATCCTAGCCAACTGCAGAGTCTGTGTGGCAAAAGGATTAAACTAATTGGGAGATTCAAAAGTAGCAAATCTCTAGGATCAGGTAGAACTCAAGCCAAGTTATTTACAGGACAACAGAACTAATGTCATTCACAATGGAGAGAAATCAAAAATCAAGGCTCTAAAGGCTAAGGATGTGAAATAAGGGAGCAAAAGCAATATTATAACTTCCAGTCACTGGAACAGGAGTCTGACATGCAGAAACTAGGACTGCATATGTATGCAATCCCTGAAAGGAAATTTTTAAAAGAAAACAAACAAACATTCAGGTTGGAGCTCTGTTGATTTCCAAGTAATGTATTTACCAAAAAAAAAAAAAAAATAGTAATGTATTTACCAAAAAAAAAAAAAAAATCACTTATTGTATTCTACCTGCTTATTAATATAAGTCAGATGACATATCTTCTAGTGGAGACAATATTAGTGTGCACATAATGACACTAAAACTCTCTGTGTGAGACCTTCTATTCACAAAACCTAGGAATACCTGAAGCTTAGCCCTTAACATCTCTTTGATGTGGTGGATATTTCAAGCATATATAAATATACATGTAGGATCTAGATCTATTGTTTTTAGGTTTTCAATAGCATTTCACAATAAGCAACATGTAATGTATTATTGTTAAATTTCAAACTGTTTAATGGAATTATTCCTCAAGGAAATCAGCTGCTGTTACTATGCATCACATTTTATTTCAAATTCATAAATCTGTATTGATTTTCTGTGGCATATGATATTTGGGTAATAGCTCAAACAAAACCCATCTGGCACAATCAGCTGGGGATGCTGAATTTAGTGAATCAAACTGAAAAGTTGCAATATGCTGTGTCAGTAACAACGTCAGCTGTTCAAGAGGTAATAATTGAAACCACAAACGAAAAGAGGAATAAAATAATAATTTAAATAGAAAAAGATGAAGCAACAAAGCAAAGTACTTACTCTAAGAGTTGATTCCACAAATACACAATAAGGGTCTAGATTTGCTGAAGAAGAGCACTTAATAATTAATGAACATATAGCCTGGCCCTTGATTTACACAGTCAGAGAAGGCCTTTATTACATTATATAAAGCAGGGAGATATTGCTTGGATTTTCTAACCTGTATTCTAAGTAGCAAAGGGAATGCTGTAGATATCTGATATTCATGAAGTTCCTGAACTGGAAGGAATATCACTACATTTGCTCATGATTTAATGTTTGGTTCAATACTAAGGGCAGTAAAATAAAAATACATCCAGGGCAGTTACAGAACCTTCTATTAGAACTCAGAAAAATACATTTGGAAAATATCACTCAGTATGAACCTCTCTGGCTTAATTTTGGGCATCAGTGAACATATAATCTTTAATTTCTAGGTAGTTTTTGGTAAAATGAAATTCAACAAAATTCATCTGTTACAAAGTCATGAGTAAGGAAAACTAAAGTACTTTTATTTTTTCCTCTTTCAAAGCAAGTGGCACTCACACAGTTAAACATAAAGTAAGACTGCTATTTCAGGGTGATAGGTATGTTATGATTTTGGAAAGGTGTAGTTAGAGGTATGAAACAACTGAAAATATTTGATCAGTCTTGAGCTAGACCAGAACATGTATGCAACAACTGCTGCTATATTTGTAGTGTGGAGTGCAGCTCCAGATAACAGCATTTTATGAGATTATAGAGAGGAAAAAAATACTGCACGTGAAATAACTTATAGTTTCTTTGGTCTCAGATGACACCTACTTTGTCAGAAATATGGTTGTAATATATTCATACATAACAAGTTTTGGTTGCTTTTGTTGGTTTTTTGTTTGTTTGTTTTGTTTTGTTTTATTTTTTCTAAATAGATAATGAAATTTAACAGTGAATTTACAGAGAATGGAACCTTTTCAAGAATAATCATTTGAACTGTCTTAAACATTACGTAGGAGATAAGCTATCTGCATGAGGTATATGACAGTTCATTACAATGGGAATTTATTAATTTAAGATAAAGGGATTTAAATTTGGGAGAAATCATTCATACTTCTGCAATCTACATCAGTACATATCTTGCCACATCTTCACTGAAGTTAGTAATTCCAAGGTTAGGTAAAATGTTCAACTTAAAAAAGGATACAAGTAACTTGCAACAACTTCTAATCTTAACACAATAATAGCTTGAGGTATTAGTAAATTAGGATTTCTACTGGCACAATGTTCTTATGTTTTCATCCTATCCATCTCTTTCTGTTAATATTTTAGATTACTCACATGTTAAAAGATACTTTTTTTTCAATTTGATAGCCCAATTAAATTTATTTCTGCTCTTTTTAACAGATATCCTCAAATT